TTGAAGGCACCAATTAACAGCGAGCCATCGTATGAAGAACCAGGGGCAACCGTCCCTTGGGACGTAGAGGCCGTTGTAGAGGCCGTTGTCAAGGCTGTCAGCACCAGAAGACAACATACTGCTGCGAGTTTCATCATTGTCGATTTAGACCGTGCTGCTTTGTAGGCCTAAATGTATCTAAGGGTAAAACGAATTTCATTAACTAATAATAACAATAATCGGGATAAAAAGGACAGATGTGAAATGTTAAAATGCCGACTCAATGCAAACCATCAGAACAAACAGGTATCCGTCCAGGCGGCGGAAAAACTAGGTAACTGGTGCGCTTGCATGGACGACTTTTCATCGTTATAGCTGTAGTGAATCATTTTTAATGGCAATCTTGTAATGACTTGAACCCGGAAGCGCACCATACAGATCAAATTCCATTGAAATACAAACAAACGGGGTCACATGAACATGTACCTCTTTGTTGTTGCGCATGACAGCTAGGCGTACGTAGGTCCATAGACCACGGTAACTAATTACCTGTGACGTCAAACCAACGAGCAATTGCCGACATGCAACCCAAACATATTAAGTATTTTTTTTTTACATGTTATTTTTTCCACACTAAACAGTTTCTCAAATTAAATTCTCAACACCACATGTACATCAATCATATTTCAAGTGATACACATTCGGCGCAGTGGAGAACACTGAGTTTGCTGAAAGTTATTGGTATATCTCGTGACCACATCATCCAATTTGTAAACAAATTGTAACTTTGTCTATAGCCAATGCATTATTTTGAGGGTTTGTTTTGATCGTCTAACGCCGGCCATCAACGATCAATATGTACCGGATGATTTATGACTCAAAACGAGACCAAAAAATATCGCCCGGCGGATGACCCACAACAGAGCTCTGCGCTAGTGATCGCACAAACATTATAGACTTATTTAGTCGAAATTGCGTTCTGAATGGTCATGGTGATTTTCCAATGGAAACAAAAAGGCTTTGGGAAAGCAAATGGGAAAAACTTCTCACTTAAGCTTTTGGCCTTTATACAACTGAATTAAGTTAGCCAAAAGATTAAAAGCGATAGGCCTAATAGTACTGTATATACATACCTTGCGCGTCTCCGGCACTACGTACCGGCCCGGTGAACGGCCCTGTGAACACAAATCGCGGACCACCTCGGTGTCTGATGAGCTGAAGGCTGCGCCACTGCATGTAGTCGATAAACCCATCAAATTTCAAGTTCGAAGTACATGTACGTGGTGTGGGCCTATAATATGTCACTCCATAGAAACCGCTGCAATGCTACATGTGATAGGGAAATACATGAACAATGATGTGAGACCCCAAAGACTCAAGGAGAATGGAACAGAACCTAACAAACACCGTGCGATTTCACAGTTTGATCACGATTGGCAATGGACAAATGTTACTAGTATGACGCCCGATTGGTCCACGATTGGCCACACGTGAATGCATTTACTTTTAGGCCTATAAAGAAAGACCAGCTTCAGGTGTGTTCAAAATGGTTATACATTGTACATGACTGACAAGCAAAGAAAGGAAAGGAAACCGAAAACGGAAAAACGATATTTCCCCATAGCGATTGCTATCACGCGGTATACCAATGTTGCCTATAATACCATGCAACCGGACACGCATAGCCCCTGATTATGTTGTCTGATCAGATACTGGACTTCCTCCATACGGATGCAACCCTGCAAATAATTTTCCATAGACACTAGTGCTAAATGCCCATAATTCAAAATTCTTTTAAAAATACTCAGAACTCTCACAGGTATTCAAGCTGCACAGAATAATAGATGATCAATATATCATCTTTCGTTTTCTTTTCATTTTTGGTGGGTTGACCATTGACTTTCTAGACATTCTCACCCAAAGAAGACGACCCTTATTTCCCCCAAAGTGGAAAAGTAGCCATCTTGAAAAACGATCCCTCCACAACATGGCAGTATAGCGCCACTTTCGAGCCCAATAGCATCCAAAACGCTCAGAATTGGAAGCCCCAAGTCCGGGCCAGAGGTTCATTACCATATATCTCTTCAATTGCCCCAATTTTACGGCGCTCAGAACTCTCTAATATAGAATATTTTGAGGGTATAACTTTTATTCACGAGCTCGGCGGATGGATTTTGGCCTATTTACCGGTGTGCATGCACCCATACGCGAGCCACGGCTTACCCTGTTAATATCGTGCGCCATTTCGAGTAAACTTCCCCAAAAATTTCCCCTGAAAATTACTGGCATGTCAGTGAGGCATTGGTTCTTACAATGTTGGTAACTTCCTTTAAACATTCCCGACCCAATGCGCCAAAGCGGGCTACAAAACGTGTTTTAAACAAATTGATGAATAGAAAGAGCATTTAAAAAATGTCAAAATCCCCGAAAAATCGAGCCGGATCATCCGTCCAGCCACACAGGGTTCGCATTCTGCGGACGTGTACCATACACACAACGTGTGCGCTGCATTGAATAGTATGCAGGGTGGAATTGGAGGAATATTATCGCAAGGTAAAATCTGGACTTTTCTATTTCACGAGACGAAGCCGAGCAGTATAATGCCCCTTTAAGGCGGTGGATAAAAATGCTGGCCAACTCGCCCCGCCCTGTGTATTATCGAAACCGGTGTAGCATAAATTTAGGTTTTATGAAATATTACGCATGCTTATGCATAGATAATTAGGAGAGGGACCGGTCACGTGAGAGGGTTTAACCAATAAAAGGAAAAAAAGAGTCCTATTTTCATACGAGTCTGATTTTCATATGACACTGGCTCAGTAATTAAGTTTTTTTCAAGCACACGCACGCCACAAAGAAACTTGACATTATTGTTTTCAAGCTCAGCATGCAACCCCCCCCCCCCCCGACTGAGCAATGTTAATATTATTTACATATGGGGAAAAAAACACGTTTCCCAGGTCACTGAATACCACAGTTGCTTCATTACTTCATTATTTTCTGTGTGTTAATTGACTGCAACGTATACCCATCAACCACCATATCCACCCGAAAATAAGCTTAGAAACCAACAGTCCCCCTGAATTCTGGTTCCACCACTGCTCTTTCCACAAAATCGAGACTGAGAGTAAACCACTCATTCCATTGTGAATATAAAGTGACATCCATCTTTACCAAAAGCTTTCTTTTATTTTCGGTCTATACCGACTGCATGCAGTGCGCGATGGTACATTATAATTGTCGTCAGATTTGAGCTCGTAATGAAAATAATACTAAACTATTCATTTTGGGGCTACCTACAGGCGTATTTCCAATAGCCACCACAAAGAATACAATAATATATGACGCGTATGTCTACATAATTTAATGTCAATGACAATGTTTGACCCGTGCTATTTTCGAATTTCGAAATGATATCTGGTTCAGTTGGTCAAGCTTTCTAGAAATACAAGAGTTCACACCCCACCCTTTGAGAAGACTGTCTTCAAACTAGTGAGTCTGACGTAATAAATGGTATTGATAGGAACGATGGTATATAGCAGGGGCGTCAATCGCTTCTCAAAAGTGGGGGGGGGGGGGGACATACCTTGATCAGAAATAATGCAAGCGCGAAGTGCGAAGCCCTTACAGCGTGGGGTTCGGGGCCCGCTTCAGGCTAGGGATAGATGCTCATGTGGTGTGATCTGAAGCAATTCTGATCACTTTAACCAATATTTTCTAAGCAAAAGATAACGGATTTAAACACCATTTTCGAGGTTGAAGTCATTGAATAAGCTATTATATTCTCAGCTAAAGGCGTGGGGTTCGGGGCCCACTTAAGGGCCCCGAAAAAAATTCGGATTCTAGATGCTCATGTGGTGTGATCTGAGGCAATTTCTGACCACTTTAACCAATATTTTCTGAAAGATAATGATTTAAACATCATTTTCGAGGTTGAAGTCACTAAGCTATTATATTCTCTGCTAAAGGCGTGGGGTTCGGGCCATAAGGGCCCCGAAAAAAATTCGGATTCTAGATGCTCATGTGGTGTGATCTGAGGCAATTTCTGACCACTTTAACCAATATTTTCTAAGCAAAAGATAATGATTTAAACATCATTTTCGAGGTTGAAGTTACACTAAGCTATTGTATTCTCAGCTAAAGGCGTGGGGTTCGGGGCCCGCTTAAGGGCCCCGAAAAAAAATTGATTCTAGATGCTCTGTGGTGCGATCTGAGGCAATTTCTGACCACTTTAACCAATATTTTCTAAGCAAAAGATAATAATTTGAAAATCATTTTCGAGGTTGAAGTCATTGAATAAGCTATTATATTCTAAGCTGAAGGCGTGGGGTTCGGGGCCTGAGGGCCCCGAACATTTTTGGATTCTAAATGCTCTGTGGTGCGATCTGAGGCAATTTCTGACCACTTTAACCAATATTTTCTTAGCAAAAGATACATTGTAGTACATAATAGGGCCCTGTAAATGAGGCACGAGTTCAAAAGTCGGGGGGGGGGGGACATTTGATATTGTGTCCCCCACCCTTCAAAAAGTGGGGCGGGGGGGGGGGGACATGTCCCCCTGTCCCCCCCCCCCCCCCCCCCCCCCCCCCCCCAGGATTGACGCCCATGGTATATAGGCTACATTGCAAGGAGGGGACCAGGAACTTGAGTCCTTGGTCACTAACAGGAAATGTAGGCCTACGTTCCCCCTAAAATTCAATTTTGCATCTCCACCGTGACGGTCATCGACCCAGCAAACTATTATTGCCAAACCTAACCATAACATCCAACCACTCCCATCCCACCGGAAAAAAATCTTATTGCGCCGACGCATCTAAGAATAAGCTTCCCCAAGAAATAGAGCGAAATTAGCCAAAAAAATCTAGAATGAAAGGGGTAAATATTATTTTTTACCAGTCGGGAAAAAATGTAAGCCGGTGACCTATTTTTTCCCACGACCCCACTTTAACACGAAACATATATAAACACGCCCGGTAAGGAGGCTACGTACCCATATAAAATATACCTGGTACCCTGCCATCCGAATAGACACACACACTTTGGATGGAACGCCCGTTGCAGGTCACCACCGAAGACTTGGTATATTATGCGGAAGTACCAAAGCGTGACTTGAGGTCAGACATTTTGCAGTCAAAATGTCCAGATTAGCAGAGCTTTTTGACAGTGAAATTCCTGGAGGACGAAAAGAATTGCAGGACAGTCATGCGAATCTGCTAGATGTGGCGTCTTACTGTGAAGACAACTATCTAAAGGCAAGTATTTTGCAACTGGTTGACATCCCGTTTGTTTCCCGATTGATGATACAATTCGGTGCTTGTGTCGTGTGTGTGATTCACTGCACTGGCTGCTTTGATTAGGCTACGTGTAATGTGTACGTGTACATGTACGGAAGTCCGCAATCGCAGTGCATGCTGGGTATGGATGACAAACAAGGCCAACTTCTTTAATGACCTTTTTTTTTTGAAAAGTTGAATTTGAACAATATCTTTTGGCAGAAAATGTGGTCCTAGCAAATTTCCTGGGCCTAAGGCTAACAACCTAAGCCTATTTAAGGGAAAAGTTCCATACTCGGATGTCAATTTATCTGCTGCCAAACATATTTATTGTCACCTCACCTTGTCATTTGAACCAAAAGAAATCCAGGAAGCTGTGTAAAGGTGAAAAAAATTTACTCAAAATGTGTTTTTAGAGCACATTTTGGATGCATACGTCGTGCAGAACTAACTTGAAGCAGCCGGTCAAAACTGATTGTAGTGGCTGAAAAGACAGCGGTACGTTATACACGTGACATCAACAACCATGACGTCGCATGAGCCTGCCAATGATAGTGCAATACGTCATTATGAATATTTATTTTCTCATGAATATTTAGTTTATTTCAATGGATACTTCAAATACGTCCAAAGATTGATGATTGCAACAGCGATCGTGCGCGGCCTAGCGGTTAAGAGTCTCGTGTATCAAGCAAGCGTCAGAGGTTCGAATCCCGATGAAGTAACTGACTGATTAATAAATAGAAATTAAGGAAAGGAGAGGGTGAGAGTAGAGGAGGGAAAGTGGAGGAATAAACATAAAAGATGTAACTTTTGGCGCTAGAAAATTAATTGAAAAAAGTGACGTCCGAGTATGGATTTTTTTCCCTATTTAATTATTTTAATTTTACACAGTTGATGCCAAGACGAATCAAGACAGTTTTGCACACCATCTATAGATACTTTCCTGCTGCGCTTGGTCATTTTCTTTGTCGTTTTGCCGTAAAAACTGTCCTAAAAAAATCAAAACCCGGCCCTTAATCTACGACACTCATGTTACAATGTGTTATTGATTTTGAACATCGCTAACTAGCAGTGCCAGTAATGGCAGTAATTAGGCGAGTCAAAAAGCAAAAGGTATATTTGTGTTCTTTTATACTAATAAATAGGAACGGGGCCCGTAATACAGTAAGACCTAAAACATTGTGTGGTTTAATACAGTAATCTGACCTACATTGTACCTGGATTTTAAAGGCATATTGCCGACCTCAAACTTTTTACTGCCACATTTGGCCAAAAACTTAAAATGAAGTATATATTTGAAATAATGAAAATAAAAAAGTCTAACCCATGCGACTTTTGTGTGATTTATTGGTTAATTAAATAATAAATCAGGTTGATTTAAAAAGTAAGAATTGTCCTTTTTGGCGAGCTGCGAAGCAGATGCGAGCCTATGTAATACCAATTTCCGTCCGTCTGTCCGGCCGGGCGTCCGTCCGTCCGTCCGCGTTCAGATAAAAATGTTGAAGTTTTTGGTTCTAGTTTATAACTTGGGGGAAAAAATTAAATGCAGTTGTCAGGTATCATCTCTAGGCCTATAACTTCAGTTAGGTTCATATCATTGCAGTAAATTATATGATTTTATTGAGGAACTTTAATTCAAGGAAATGTTAAAGTTTTTAATTGTTACATGTACATGTATACTGGTATAACATGTACATGTGTGTATACCGGTATAACATGTACATGTACACTATGCATTTTGGGGATGTGCATGAGCTTCTGGTTTGATCTTTTAGTTGATGGGGTTGGAGTAGGGATGGGGTAGGGGAGGGTGGGGTGGGGTGGGGTGGGGGATAGGGTTGGAGTTAGGGTTTGTGTGAGTAGGATGAGTAGGGGAGCTAGGATGGGTGGGGCGGGGCGGGTTGAGGTGGGGTGGGGTGGGGAGAGGGGTTGGAATACTGGGTTTGGGTGGGGTGGGGATTTGTAGGGGTGGGGTGGGAACAGGTAGGGGGAGACAGGTAGGGAGAGGATAGGCATGGATGTAGGGGTTGGGTTTGGAGGGGGTTGGGCAGGGGGCGAGATATAGGATCGGAGTAGGGGTTGGGTTGGGGATGTGTAGGGATGGGTTGTTGTAGGGGTTGGATAAGGGGAGGGGGCAGTATATAGGGATCAGAGTAGGGGTTGCATGGGGTCAGGTTGGGGATGTATGGGTGGGGGAATGGGGTGGGCGGGATATTGGAATTCGAGTAAGGGTTGGGGTGGGGATGTGTAGGGATGGGTAAGGACAGATAGGGGAAGATAGGGTAGGTGGGTGTAGGGGGTTGGGGTAGGGGAGGGTACGGGTCAGGGGAGGGGGAAGGAGATGGGGATTGGAGTTTGGGTGGGGTTTGGATGTGTTGGTGATAGGGTGGGGATGATTAGGGGAGGATGGAATGGGTGTGGGTAGGGGTTGGGTGGGGGAGGGGCGGGTTGGGGATGGGGTAAGGTTTTGGGATGGGGTAAGGTTTGGGGGAAGGTGGTGATGGTGCTGTGTCTACATGTACATGTATACCCATTCTTGTTCTGCATTTGTGGCGACTACACAAGAGTTTTCCCATGGTAATACAAGTATGGGGAGCAGAAGACACTGTTGGGGCTGCAAAAATCCACAACTGGGTCCTAATTACCCTAACAATGGAAAACTCCCCCATAATACAGTGACGGCTAACCTATATACACATGTATTTATTAGGTAATCTGTTGACTTTTTATGTTGACATTTAAAAATTGACCCCTACACCTAGGCACATCAACAAGAATCCTGATCCCCTTCCATCATGCCCATCCCAAACCCTACCTTCAGCCTCCCTTCCTGCCTTGGACAGCGAGCCATGGCGGCTTCGCCGTTCTAGTTATATATTTTTTCTTCATCTGAGAATTGAGTGTCCATCTGTTCACAATTGGTGATTGGATACATAGTAATAATAACAATACCGGAGTCTTATATAGCGCACGTATCTACCACCAATTAGGTACTCAAAGCGCTGGAAAATATGTCTTTTAATAAAGACAGGTAAATGAAGTTTATGAGAAATATGAGTCCCATTAAGTAGCACCTTATAAGGGTTTACAAGGTGCTGCGGTGCATATTGCAGCCACTGCCAGAAACACTGGGGCAAACCCCTTCTCTTAGCATTAAGTGTAACTGGGTCCTATAACGTGCATTACACAACACATGGGACCTACGGCTTAACGTCCCATCCGAAGGACGAAACAATAATGATAAAGTGCCTTGCTCAAGAGCACAAGCACCATGTTCCCACACTCAGGATTCGAACCCATGTACCACGGCACACCAGTCGAACACCGTAACCATTGGACCACAGCACCCCCCAACATAACATAAACCCTAACCTTCCCAACTCCATCAAAATCCATTCCCCCATTTTGGGGATTTTGGTAAGCAAGCCATGAGTACCAAGTCTTAAATCCTCCTATAGTAGTAGTGGTCTTCTTGTGGATTTCAGCAGATTTGGTCCCAAAGCTTTATATGAAGCAGGGTCATTGATGGATTTTGGCGGACTTGGTCCAGTACTTAGTAAAAGACACTAGGGAGTTAGACTCAATTATTGGGGAAAAAAGTGCTTGTGTAGTAATACAGGCCCAGTTCCTACATATATAAGAGACAATACCCACTTTTGGGTAATATTTTTAAATGCTTAGAACCAACAAGAAATAAGGTGATGGTTTGATGGAAAGTAAATTGTGTTTAACCATTGTATAGGTTAGCCCAGCCATCCAGGAACTTCGTAAACTTTTCCTTTTCCAAAATTCCTCATCTCTTTCCAAGACCCATTTTCATGAAACTGACAGAGTCTTCATGTTGGAGTGCTGAATGGTTACACATGTAGCAACCAATAAATACTTGTTTGCAAATGAATAGATGCTTTTATTGGCTACACATATTGCAATCATTTGGGTTTTGCAGAATAAAATGCAATCTTTGAAAATGTGGTTTTTTTTGTTTTTGGCAGGCTGCGAACAAGGCAGATGCCTTGGCAGAGACCAAACAGTATGCTACCCAGTCGCTGGCCAGCGTGGCCTATCAGATCAACACCTTGGCTACCAGCATGCTGCAGATGCTGGATTTACAAGGAGTACAACTCGCTGACATGGAGTCTAGTATTAATCACATAGCAAGGGTACGTACATGTCTGAAATCGTTCTCATTTCCTGTTGCAACAAAGTGTTTAGACTCTGTCCATAGGGCAAACAAAAGCCTCCGGTTTCTGGTATGGAGCTAGCCCAAGAAGTGGTGCGGCGACTTGTTTTTTTTTTTCCATACGTTTTTTGGCATTGGCAATTGATGCCAACTAAGCCCTAACCACCCTCAAGCCTCCAAATGTAATTGCATGTTTTGTTGGAATCTGTTGGATTAACCCTAACCGCCCTGAATCCTCCAAAATCCTTTTTTGCAACTTGGAGGAATTTGCAGGATTAAGGTTACATGGCAAAAGTGCTTTGCTGATTTCGGAGTACGCACTGTGTCAAGGTCTTGGGCCGGACCTTGTGTTGTTTATGCTCAGCCGTGCATAAATTTAGTCCTTGATTATACATGACATCCTCCGCACTGTTCCAGGATGTCACTGCCTCTGCCTATTGACAGTCATAGCCGGAGGATTTTGCAGGATTCAGGCAGTGGTCACCCCTCCATGGACCATATTCAAGAAATAACGGAGGAATTTGCAGGATTGAGGCTATATGCTATTTTTCCATGAGGCCAATTGGAGGATTTTGCAGGATTGAGGCTACATCCTAGCAAAAAGGCCTAGAGAGTTGGGGTTAAGTACTGAACTAGTAAACTGATTATGCTTTACAGGTGGTCACGCATACCACCATAATCAGAGTCCAACAGTATTGGTGTTGCGTTACCATTTGGTGTTGGATTTTGTAAGAGCGAGGAAGGTTCCTAGTAAATCACTGAAGGGGTTAGGGCTATTTTAATGAGAGATTTTATTCATTTATTGCTTTAATTTATGTTATTTTTTATGATGGTCATACAGAATGTCAGCATCCACAAAGAGAAAGTTTCCCGAAGGGAAATTGGTGTGCTAACGACCAACAAGAATTGTCCCCGCACTCACAAGATCATCGCACCGGCCAACCCAGAGAAACCCATGAAGTATAAATCCTCCCCGATCGACTATAACGTTCTGGATGACACCGGACATGGCATGAAACTCAGTAACCCCCCAAGAGCCGGCCGCACCCCGGACATGGGCAAGCAGCGCACTGACTCCATCAGCAGTAGTACCAGCACTATGAGTAGCCAGGACAATAACTTCCCCATCTACCAACCGATGCCGGGCGCCAAGTTTGGCTCCTGGGGTAGAACCAGCCGACGCCCCTCTGTGCCGCCCAATGCACCCGTTGTGCCGCCCAATGCACCCGTGGTACCTAATACCTACTCAGTCAGAGATCAAGGGCCGGCCCAAGGCTCGCCCCAGTTGGGCAGACAGCAGCGCCCACCCTCATTAGCATTTGGTCAAGCCCCGCCCCCGCCCAGTCAAATTGGTATGGCCCCTATGGGGGCGCCTCCTGCACCACCAGCCTTTCCCCCAGAACCAGGGATGCCCAACCAAGGCCATCGTACGTCTATGTCGATTTACAGTGCTCCACCTCCTGCGATGGCTCCTCCCCCGATGGCCCCTCCCTCGATGGCTCCTCCCCCAATGGCCCCACCTCCTCCTGTAGTCTCCGGGGGAGATATGGGGGCAAGGAGGAGTGTGCCACGTGGGGATGGGAGTGGCATGATGATGATGATGCCGCCTCCCCCTCCTCCAGATATGATGGGTCCACCAGGTATCATGCCCCCACCACCTCCGCCAGATGCAACCATGGAGTGTAAGTCACATGTAACGTACTTCAACCTGAAAAACAAGAGATTACAGTTTGATTCATACGGTATTCAGTGCCCACCTTATGGCTCTGCCTACTGTATCAAAGAATCCTAATGGGAGACTTTTGAGACGTTGGTGGCCGCAAACATACCGGTCCTTTTTTCAATTGTTTACGTCATGTGTAAGCCAAAGCGCGCATGCTCAATATGACGCAAACAATGGAAAAGGACCGGTATGTTTGCTGCCACCAACGTCTCAAAAGTCTCTTATTAACTGTAGCCGAAAATGACATGGATATGGTTTACATATATATACATTACATTGGTAAGTCAGGAATTTGGGTTTTACGCATGTTCACATCCTGTAGCTGAGGATACTACATATGCTTTTCTGTGAAAACTATGGTAGCACAGAATGATGATCTATCATGTCTACTTTTTGCACATTGAATTTCAGAAATCTTTGGTTAGCGCCATGAAATCAGACATTGGTACTGAGGTGAATGCATGTACATGTTTCTAAAGCAAAAGTTGGTATTAACAAAACCCAACATCCTTGCTTTGGCAACTTCATACATGTATTTGCTGAAGGGGAAATCATTGAAATAGTTTGTTTTGTATTTCTTATCAAAATTAAACCAAACTTTGACGCTAACCCTGCCAGATGCAACACAGTGTAAAAGTCTCTAGGACCTTGGTGCGCAGAACTATGAACACCAGTGCACAAACTGCTAATTCTGATGCAATGGGAGCTAGTCCCATTGAACAATGTCACTGTTGTGTCTTACTGCTCTTGGTGCCTATAAATTCTGAGGCAAACAAGACCCAAAATCAGTCTTGGACCAAGTCCTAGGTTTGATGCTTACACCAAATTTGTTTTTCCTTGTGTTTCACAGTGTCATCATTACCCCCTCCCCCGCCCATGGATAACACCCCTTACCCAGCCAACATGGGCATTGCTGATGATGAGATGCCCCCACCACCGGAGTTTGTTCAGACTAGTGACGTGGACCTATCTGCCCCCGCAGACTACATAGATAAAGGTGAGTTGACAATGGACAGAAGGAGTCTGTGAGTTTTGGTTTGGACATGAAGCAAGTCTGCCTTTAAGTTCTACAACATTACTCATACATGTACATTACCTTTAAAGGTACAGTCCGTCGTTTGTAATTTGTGCATTTTGTTCCTTTGAAGCAACAAACGTGCTCAAAATCTAAAGAAGGGTGCTGAACAACTAACCTGACGAAGTTTCAGCTCAGCTTCCGCTGTATATTCCGAGAAAAACAGCATTCTAGGATCTCGATTTCAAATCAAAAGTTGCTGAATCATGTTTTGAATTGGGTCTGAATTCAGCGTCCGAGACACGTTCACACTGAGCCGATTGCAGCTACGCGATGTCGCGCAACGATTTGATAAATTATAGCAACTGCGCGTGCTTGTGCGTCGTGCCAACGCTTGCGCGTGCTTTGCCAAATAAAACTAAAACGAACTACGAACAGTGCATCTAGATGCACTGTTGGAAAGGCCTTCATTCGTTGATTTCTTCAAAATGACAGCTTGCCAGAAAGAAGAATTTCACAGGGAGTTTAGTTTAATTTTTCAACCAAGTATGTTTTTCAACAAGTAACATCAGATACTTTTTGGATAGCTGCAAATGATGGACTGTAGCTTTAAACATATGCAGAGTTCTCAAAGATTTGATGACCCAATTAAACGCTATCTCTCCTAGATTCTCCAAGATATGTGCCCAGATCTAGAAGAGCCAAGCCATGCGGTTGACACAGCTTGTCCGCCTGTTGCCTTCTTACTGCGCTTCTAGGAAACTTTCAAACACACACACACAAACATATATGTACACACAGTCGTATTTTACCATTACATCTGAGGACAGGGCATTGTCTTTCCCTTTGTCCCTATAATATAACGTTCTCCCATAGACTAAGCACACAGACTAACTATGTTTTGCCCTACCCCTTCAGCTGTCTGCACGAGTGAATGCCACAGTTGAAGTACTAGGAGGTTAACTCACACATTCAATTTCCGCTATTTTGTTATCTTTTCAGTGATCGCCATCTATGACTACCAGCAGACACGGGATGATGAGCTGACTTTCCAAGAAGACGACATCATCTACGTGTTGAAAAAGAACCCGGACGGGTGGTTCGAGGGTATCCTGAATGGCCTCACAGGGCTGTTTCCCGGCAACTATGTCGAGGCAGTGCCGTAAGAATTGACTTTTTTTGTCGGACAGTGTTTTTTTTTTCGTGGCCTGTATCGTTAAGTATTTGTTTGTAAAAGCATACTCTTCATTCTTTCCATAAAAATACAAACAAACAAAATCACATTTAGCAGGGTTTAACTTATGTAGATTTATTCCTTGCCTGGACTCAATATCTTGAAGTTGCAAAGCCAAAAATGTTGCCGGGGAATTAATGAGTTAAAATCTACGATTAAACGTGGGTTCAAGACTACGCACATATATAATGTTTTTTAGTGTCCCTGCATCATAGTAAACGAGGTCATCTATCAACAGATCCTTTTATGGACTATGGTTCATGCCCCAGTGACATGCTCAGAATTTGGCGGGAAAAGTGTCGAGATGCCATAAGTTTTTGAACACTTTTTATATAGCTTGTATAAAAAAGTGCACAGCCAAAAAACTTAGTAACTTGCATTTTGAATACCGCATTTTTCGCAGTTAAATGTGGCCAGATGTTTGCGAAAAATCTTTAAAAGAAAAGAAAAAAAAAAAAACCTGGCTAGATCCGAACTATATAGGCAATCAGCCAAATTCTTTGTGGTCACCATATCAGGATAAGACAAAACATGTGGGGCTGGATTTAACGATAGATACTCATGCTTACAAGCCATCCAGCAGGGTTTCTGAGGTTCTGGCGATACCACCCGTTTGTGGTTTTTATATCACCTGTTGTATTATCTTATTTTGATGATGACTTAATAGTCCCCCAGAAAAGTACCCGGTAATACCGAATACTGCCGTATTTCTGTGACAATATACCGCGGACTCTCAAGTTATCAAAAACTGCACAAGCCTACAAGCTCTGTTCTGTTGCCCAGTCTTGCTTTTTTTATGCTTTGCAGCTTCATAAAATTGGCCATTGATCTGATTTATGATCCAAACTGAACTGTGTACTTACATGCATGTGTGCTTCTGAAACTAATCAAATCGTTAATTGGCATTATGGATTTCAAGGACTTATGGAGAACACACAGTGTATTTTGTATGTGATATTTAACAATTTGATATGTTTGTTCCTGGAAGGAATGGCTTTGCGTTTTAAACTTAAGGTCTTTTCACACTATTGTCTTCCCCTACCCTTGTTGACATTGCGAGTCTACTGTAGGCAGAACCATGTCCCAACGAACGCAGGAGGGCAAGAAGTACCTTTCACACTTACATGTATACCAGGGATGTACATGTAAGTCCCCCTGCAATGGCCTAATTTCAGGCGTTTTCAAATTGTTAAATAAAATAGTGGCACCTTAAGAGTCCACTTTCATCCCTGTTTGTATACCGGGTTGTATAAGGTGGGCTGTAGAATTGGAAGTTTCTACCCATGAAGATTCTCCCAACCCTGGTCTAAGGTGCGAGGGTGTACGCTTTGACTTTTTTACTTCTCTTAAAAAATATGAAAAGAACATTTAAAATTAGAAGAAAAAAATTAATTCAAATGTAATGAAATGCTGACCTTATTTCCCTTTTTAAAAAAAATCCTCCAAAGCCTCAGATAAGAAAAGAACCAAACAAAATTGGGTAAAAACAGTGATTCGATCCCAAACCGCGAGGATCCCTCGCGGCACAAAATCACAACCCAATCAACTGAACTAGCCAACTGCCCCACAAGTACGTATCATAAAGTATCATAGAGGGCACTCAACAACCATGTAATGATCGCTCGTACCCCCCGCCCTGCAAACAGGACGCTGGGATACTCTGATGAGCTTCACAGAATCTTGTGAAGGAAGTGGCCTATGACCTATGTATAAAGCATCTGGCTGCAGCTGTTCAAGACCGCAGTTAGACAATGTGCGCAAATGCTATCTGAAAACTTCCCATGGAAATACACACATTCAATACCGGATGTGATTTCTGTTTCATTGCGGACCATGTGGACAAAATTTTGAGCATCGCATAATGCAATCTGACCGTTCGTGATTCGAAACAGAGCTTGAGCAAGTGACGGGAATTGTTAATTTACAACACAGAAAAGTTTTACAGAATTTCCTACATTATTATGTTTTTCAACAAAAACAACAAATCTCTAAACTGGAATAAAAGAGTAATGAAACAGTCTTAAACGGCGGTTTCAAACCTTGCGGAGTCATGACCGTGGTGACGCACAGGTCACAGGTCACGCAAAATCCAATCAATCAGAGCGTGAATTCATCAGAGTATCCCAGTGTCCTGTTTGTAGGGCGGGGGGTACGAGCAAACCATGTAATGAAGATGTTGTTTGGGAAAAAATAATTCGCATCCAAGGCAGGGTTGAAGTTTGCCCCCTTAGATCGCTGGACCCATGTAGATGGTGGAAACGGTGTTGGACTCTTGATAGTGTGAAAGTGGTTCCAGTAATCTTTGGTTTTGATGCAGGGCCGACTGTCAAGAATATTTTCAATACTGTGAAAAGGCCCTTTGGACAAGCAAGTTAGACGCTGTATACAGGGTGTATCTTAACTGCCTCTAGTGTGCATGTACATGTATGTACATCAAGGACTTGAACAAGTCCATCAATTTGCAGGAATGGGAATAAATGTCCACTAATACTGGAGAAAAAAAAACAATCGCTAAGGCTGTTCCACTGATCCAAGGTAATTTTGGTGTACTTTGATCTGGCTTGTACATGTACATTGTAATATATGTTGGTCGCATTTTTTTTTTTAGGTTTTGCCAAATGATTACATTTTATTGCATGTTGTCAAACCAGATATTTCATGTCCTTTTTCTTCCCAAAACGTTGACTTTTTTATTTATTAAATAATCTAACCATACTGTAATGTAATATGTTATGAATTAATACAAGTACAGAGTGCATGCAAAATATACACGAACCCTAAGTATCAAGTCATGTCCACCCTTCTGATTTTGAATGAAAACGTGAATTTCAAGGCATTCACAGCAATACAGGTCATTCTATAAATTTAAGGTGGAAAGTGTGATATTCCCCTGTCCCTGTGTACCTTGGTACATTCAAGAATAAAGATGGACTTTTTCTATTTGTTGGGTTGGTAGTCTGCTATTCATAATCACTATTGGAGTACGACTGCATTAAGGAATTCATCAGAATGATAAAATCATAGATGTCAGATGTAACAGGGAAAGGCAAAAAAGTGGACCCCAAATTTATAGAATGACCCCTCTCTTGTGTGACCTAGATCAGTCTGTACACTAATGCTCACATGTTGTGTTCTACAGGGCGAGTAAAAAAAAACGAAACCCAAATGTCGGGACCAGTTTTTAGTGAATTTCTGTATGTAGCACTTTCCAAATCTAGGATATGAAAGCCCAATTCATAAGCTTTCTTTTAGTACAAGAATCATTCATGTACTTTTCAAGTTACGGAATTTTAAACACAAACATCGTTTTGAAGTTCAGTTCACGGATCGCAAAAAAGAAATTAAGTGTTCACATAGGGATGTACATATGTATGTGAATTGTTTTCATTTTGCTGAAAGAACACTTGCCCTTTTTGTGATCTGTGGACAGAAGTTTAAACAGTGTTTGTGTTTAAAATTCTGTAACTTGAGAATTACATATGAATGATTCTTGTACTAAAAGAAAGTGTATTAATTGGGCTTTCATATCCTAGATTTTGAAGGTGCCACATGCAGAACTTCACTAAAAAAAATGGTCCCGACATTAGGGTTTTGTATTTTATTGTTACTCTCCCTGTATTTCTGTCCACACAAGTACATGTATGTGTCCAACAGTTTGACCAAATTTTGAAATCACAGAAGGACCATGAAAGTTGGAATGGAACTGTTGTGGAAACTGCTGTTCCATTTCTCTATAGATTTGGATAGATGTATAATTAACCCTTCTTTATGCAGATCAATGTTGCTATGTATGTGTGTATGCATCCATAATGATGCTCTACATACCGTTTTGTACAACAGCTAGTCCGGATTCCAGCTTTGTTTTCTGGAATCATATAATAATGGTCAATAAATCAAATTGCAGTTACCGGACCACCGTCTTTGAACTGGTTTGTTTTTATTGTGTAAAGGCTAAAGGGGCAAAATAATCGGCTTGGGTATGTTCCTTCCCCCTTCAAACCACTTTAGATTGCATGTCCTTTATAACAAAAAAACAGGATTTCTATAGCGCCTTCCATGTAGATCATGGCGCTCCATCCTGCGTACATTTTCTCAAATCACAACTTTGTTTCCGTCATTTTGTCCATTCGTATATTGGAAAATTATGTTCCAACTAAACGAAAATGACCCCAAAGTTTGGATTTATATACTTTGGGTTCATATTCTTCAACTTTGTCCCGACAATCCTTACAAAGTGCTGCCGAATTTCTTTTACGTAATGAGTGTAAAAATCATTACATTGTAAGTAGCAGAAAATTGACACTATTGAGTTGGACTCTACAGTGTCTGAACACTGGAGCCGTGAAGTCGAAATGATGCCGAGGTTTTCAAATGGCCAAGGATTGTTCACTGCTATAATCAATCCCTTCTTGTTTCTCTCTTCTGCCGTTTAGTTTTTCCTGCTTACTTTACATCAGTGGTGTTAAACATCCTGTCGGGAGAGATCCGGTATGCCGAAGTTAAAAATACGTTTGCACGCGGAAGTGTTCTGATTTTTTTTTAATCATCAATTCTTATGAATAACACACTCTTTGTCAGTGCGATAAATATCATAGCGTTTAGAGAAACTGGCCAAAATGCCAAGAAATTTGCCAGCCAAAGTTTCTGCCTTATTACTTTTGTGCTGGTGGATCGATATATTATCAGCCGAGAAAGATGCGTTCTTTCTCCACATTGCTGCCACAATAGGAATAAGATATTTGTGAGGTTCCATTTTAAGGTGTTGTTTTGTCCTATCCGTGCTTTCTCGAGTTTCATCCTTCAAAGATATATTTTTGGGGTAATTTACTAATTGCTTCTTTTTCAGCATTGCAAAAAATATCAATTTGAATGAGCCATTAAAGAAAACAATCAGCCCACGTGCCGTTATGGAATTAATACATGTATCACAAATTTCGATTTATGTAAGTGGCTAATCTCATAAAAATAAGAGGCGAAAATGAAAGTACGAAACCCAAAAGAAAAGTCCTTTTTTCAAATGGTTGCAGACGCCCAAAAAAGGGAAGAAAAATAAGATGGCTTTTCGTTAAAATAAAACAAAGAAATTGAAAAATCGTTAACAGAAAAATAAATCGAATTGTTGAGCACGGGCAGTATTTACCTGACCACCCGGTATATTGGCAGCCCGCCCTCAGACGTCAGACAAGTTGAGCATGTAGGCCCTACAGGTGTTTGAGACTCGTAATCGTATCGTACGTGAGGTGTCATTCAACCCGGAAGTACCTTGGAACTTGAACTGTGCGGGTTGTACACCGTACCCGGAAACAACCCAATAGACAGCAAGTCATATCATATATGGGTAGAATTCCATAACGGAATTCATTTCCTGGGAATTGTCAGAAAATCATGGCCAAGTTAGCAGAACTCTTTGAAACCGAGATCCCGGCAGGACGAAGCCAGTTGCAGGAAAGTCATACCAGTCTGCTGAAAGTGGCATCCTTTTGCGAAGAAAATTATCTGCAGGTAGGGCCTACATTATCTGATTACACATATTAGTAGTAGTACAGTACATTACGAAAGCCCTGTAGTGCCATCAAGTATATATTTTGTCCAAGTTCGGTTTTATGAGATATATTTTTCCCAAAGTTCGTTTTTACGAGATACATTTTGTCGAAGTTCGTTTTTATGAGATATATTTTTCCCAAAGTTCGTTTTTACGAGATATATTTTGTCGAAGTTCGTTTTTATGAGATATATTTTGTCGAAGTTCGTTTTTATGAGATACGTTTTGTCGAAGTTCGTTTTTATGAGATATATTTTCTCGAAGTTCGTTTTTATGAGATACATTTTGTCGAAGTTCGTTTTTATGAGATATATTTTCTCGAAGTTACGGAGCCCCTAAAGGGACATCCAAAATTATTTTTTTATCTCGTGCGTACGACATAATATCTCGTGCGCACGACATAATTATCTCGTGCGCACGACATAATATCTCGTGCGCACGAGATAATTATCACGTGCGCACGACATATATCTCGTGCGCACGACATATATCTCGTGCGCACGAGATAATTATCTCGTGCGCACGAGATAATTATCTCGTGCGCTCGAGAAAATTATAAGTATTATCGGAGCTTGCTGCACGTGCAGCGGACGAGTTTGTGTGTAACGAAAGCAGCGTGTCAGGTACGGAGTCCCTAAAGGGACATCCAAAATTATTTTTTTATCTCGTGTGCACGACATAATATCTCGTGCGCACGACATAGTTATCTCGTGCGCATGACATAATATCTTGTGCGCACGAGATATATGTCGTGCGCACGAGAAAAAAAAAAGTTTGGATGTCCTTTTAGGGGCTCCGTAAGATATCCTGTGTAGCCCGAAAAAAAATTATCTCTTAAAAACGAACTTGGGAAAAATATATCTCGTAAAAACGAACTTCGACAAAAGATATCTCGTAAAAACGAACTTCGACAAAATGTAACTCATAAAAACGAACTTCGAGAAAATATATCTCATAAAAACGAACTTCGACAAAATGTATCTCATAAAAACGAACTTCGACAAAATATATCTCATAAAAACGAACTTGGACAAAATGTATCTCATAAAAACGAACTTTGGGAAAAATATATCTCATAAAAACGAACTTGGACAAAATGTATCTCATAAAAACGAACTTTGGGAAAAATATATCTCGTAAAAACGAACTTGGACAAAATATATACTTGATGGCACTACAGGGCTTTCGTAGTACATTATACATTTTGTACATGCAATTTCAGTTTCAGGTAATCCTTACCTTTTTTAGGACCCCGTTCCTATATAACTATATAAGGTTAAAAAACTCACCAAAACAGAGATCAAATGACACTCAATTAAGTGACATTCCATGATTCTGGTATTTCTTGCCACATCTGAACAGTTGGCAATGACACCTTCTTGAATATCAGCAGGTTTAATTTTGTGGAAAGAGGGCAGGGCTCTGAGGGGTAAAAGACGACGATGACAGACTAAAACAGCAAGATGGTGAACTGCAAAAAACAGTAGGAAAGTCACATTTTCTTTGAAAGTGCTTTCAAAATGACATGATGAGTGTATCTGAAGAAAAAAGACGGCTTGAGCCTGCAAAAGTCACTTTGGTATTGTACAGTCATCTGCAAAAATCAGTTTTGAACAGAACTCGTAAAAATAGAGGTGTCCTAAAGATAAGGATTACCCAATTTCAAATTCATTTTTTTTTGGTAGCTTGCAATGCTTTTTCATTACTTTTTGCTATAAAGAAAGGACAAAACATGATTTTTTAAGGACTTTTTTTATACCTTTATAATTACATAATGAAAAAAAAAGGAAAGAATATTTTCGATAGTCATTATAACTTGATGAGAAGAGGTTTTAAATTTGAATCAGATTGAAAAAAAAAAGATGGCTGTTCCAGACCCCAAACAATTGTACACAGGGGTGGACTTGGCCATGTTGGCTATTTTCAAGCAGAGCAAGTGCAATAAAAATGTGCTCAGATTTCAATCAAATTACAGGCCTTTGTTTCATAGCCACTGATACAACCATTTAAATTAGTAATTTAGTTTCAGGCATAAAATGTTCTGTGTATGAGATACATGTACATGTAGAGACACCAGTTTAGGAAAATACTATTATGTTTTTTAACGTTGTAACTATTTCAGAGTCCAACAGCATGATCAAGAAATGAGTTGATCATTTTTGTGAATAAATGTGATTACTTGATTTGTATTTGATGTCTGTTCTTACTGGTCTCTCCTGTTTGCATTCGAACCTGAAGTGACATCAACACCGCTACGCAATCACTGTTCATAAGGCACTGTACATAAGGCACTCCTCAATAGTGTAACCAGTTGCCCTGTGACAGAATGTCTGAAGAACAACTGGTACAATGCTTTGGCCATTGAAGGAAGGCCTCTATCCATGACTGCGCAGCGAGAGCGTATTTAAGGGAAAATACAACATTTACAAACATCAAAAAATAAAACTACCAAATCATTTTGAAATACCTTGCTGGACTGTTAGTGAATGACAGTGTAAAGCATCCTGTAAAATCATGGCACCTGGTATACTGTCATTTTCAAGAAAAGTGCTATATTTGTATCAATTTCCAACGCTGTTTGGCCGATCAGCGTTGGAAAAAACTGGCTTTTTTTTCAAATACTGGCCCCAATTGACCATCGCACTTGTTTGCAATCGATTACAAACCTATGAACGGGTACAAGCCAGCTAGACTGGTTCCCTGACCTTACAATTCCCCAATGTATGTAAACTGCTCTGTTTATTCTTATATGGAGTCAGGGAACCAGACTACAGGAAAATGATTGTTTTTCTTGGTTTTTATAGCATTTTCGAACCCAAAACCTCAAAAAAGTCAGTGTAACTATATTTGCTATATATTTCCAACCCCCCAATTCCATCCATTTCTGAAAATTACAGCAAAAGCAAATGATGTATATTCCCTTTAAGAATAGTCCATACAGAACACTAATAGATGATTGCCCCAAAAAGTTTCTATCTATAAAAAGACAAGCTACTTTTTGATGAAAAAATTACTGAAATTGCTCAATCCATTCAAAGAATACCACCATTTAAATGCAATGACCCTAAATAAAACCTGTCTTGTCCAAAAAATCAATTTATTTTGCGTTTTGACTGTTTGGAACAACGAAGAAAATGACACAGAATACTTGTTTTAACAACTGTAGCACACAATTTTTTTGATTAACAACCCTGGTTAGGCAAACAGTATGATTTATAAAATCTACTTTTTTAAAAGACGGGCCTTCAAAAGGACTTCGTTGCATATTGTTAACGTTTAAACTACGATTTCATCGCTGGTGATGTTTGAAGACAATTGTGTCGACGATTGTTGAAGTCGCATTTTTGGGACGAGACAGGTTTTTGATAGGGTCATTGTGTTTAAATGGTGATATCTTGTGAACGGATTGACCAATTTCAGTAATTTTTTCATCCAAAAGTAGCCTATGAGATTGGCCTATGTCATTATTATTTTTGGTGCTACATATTATTTTAAATATGAAAAATAATTTTTTTGGGTGTGGGTTCTGCTTTTTTTGACTCTCCCTGTAATGAACATTTTGGGAAAAAATTACACTTATGGACATCACTAGTTTTTTTTTCCTGCAGTGACCTATCAGCCATCAGAAAATGATCAAAATGTCCTGACAAGTCCAATTTATAGCAAGGAAAATGTTGAATATATAATTTAATAAGAAAACACTTTGAATTTTTCAGACCAGTCTCGTAGGGTTTGTGCACATAGGGTGTCAAGTGATGTCCCTGAATGGAACTCTTTCCAAAAATGTTGTTAGCATTTTGTTACAAATTGCTTTGGGATTCACTTTTCTTGTTTCATTTTCAGGCTGAAAATAAGACGGCTGCCTTGGCAGAGACCAAGCAGTATGCTACCCAGTCGCTGGCCAGTGTGGCCTATCAGATCAACACCTTGGCTACCAGCATGCTACAGATGCTGGACTTACAAGGAGTACAACTGGCTGACATGGAATCAAGCACCAATCATCTTGCCAGGGTATGTACAAAAAAAATTAAAGAAAGTTTAAAAATCCCCACCCGGCAGAGGTGGCAGCAAGTCATTTTTTGCAAGTCCAAGTCAAGTCACAAGTCATTGTTTGCAAGTCCAAGTCAAGTCACAAGTCATTAGGTCCAGTCACAAGTCAAGTCACAAGTCATTTGGTCTAAACACAAGTCAAGTCACAAGTATCTTTGTCCAAGAACACGTCAAGTTGCACATTATTATTTTTGTCCAGCTGTAATAAGCTAAAAGAACCTGGCGTCAACTTACGAGTTATTTTGAACATGCCTCCATAATTCCCCTTTTTCAATGTGTTGCAATTACTATTCTTGTAGTTTATCACATATCTGTCGGATATTAGCCCTTTGTATACTTTAATAAATTTACTTTACATTGTAGAAATAAATGTTGAGATGACATGAAAATAAGACCTTGTATTGTTACCATGGAGCTTTACATGCAGACATGCCCGATCTGGAATTAGGGAAAATATACATTCTGTCTAGGGCAGATTTTCAAGTAATCGAGGCTAGAACTTATTTAGATTCAATAGCCATATGAAGCAAGAGTTTGTACGCAACCCAGAATGACCGAAAATCTATTCGCGGTTAAGCCCCCCCCCCCCCCCAGAAAAAAAGTCACAGCGCGACTACTCACCGCTCATCGTGGGTTTTAAGGTGCCGCATGAAATTGCTCGTTGTGTTTGGGCCATCAGTGACAGTGGATCCACATATTTTACAAACAGCAGACCTAGCGTCTGACTTGGGTTGGTAACAAGTCATCTTTTGCAATCCCAAGTCAAGTCACAAGTCATTGTTTGCAAGTCCAAGTCAAGTCACAAGTCAAAGCTGGTATTTACAAGTCAAGTCACAAGTCACAAAAATGGCGACTCGAGTCCGACTCGAGTCCAAGTCACATGACTCGAGTCAGCAGCTCTGCCACCCGGTAATGATATTTTGCCCTCCTCCTTTTGATTAATGTTTTAATTCATGCATTTACAATATACAGGGTGGTCTAAAAAAAAATGGAACTGAAGGAGTACAAATGAATGGGTACCGGCATAGGCAGCAGTAGCTGTGGAGTAACCTTTGATGGAACTGCATTTAAAGATACAGTCCATCATTTGTAATTTGTGCATTTTGTTCATTTAAAGCAACAAATGTGTTCAAAATCTAATGAAGGATACTGAACAACTAACCTGATGAAGTTTCAGCTCAGCTTCAGCTGTATATTCCGAGAAAAACAGCATTCTAGGATCTCAATTTCAAATCAAATGTTGCTGAATCATGTTTTGAATTGGACCTGAATTTAGCGTCCGAGACGCGTTCTCACTGAGCTGATTGCAGCTATGCACGATGTCGCGCACTCATCCGACGAATTATAGCCAATGCTTGCGTGCGCTTCGCCGAATAACAAAACGAACTATTAATTTAAATTTTCCTACGGTGCGTCTTAAGACGCACCGTTGGAAAGGCTTTTTTTTCGTTGATTACTTCAAAATGACAGCTTGCCAGAAAGAATAATTTCACAGGGAGTTTAATCCCCTTACTATCTTTCAACCAAGTATGTTTTTCAACAATAGTTACACCAGTTACTTTTCGGATGGCTGCAAATGATGGACTATAGCTTTAAGGAAACAGGAGATAAACATCAGCTTTCATGGAGCCACATTTTTTTATTTTTTTTTACACACTAATTTGGCTTATTTGACTTTTTGATTCAATCTACCGGTAACACAAAGAAAAGTATTTCTAGATATTGAAAATTATGGTCAATGGAACGTGAAATGGCAATATAACTGGCCTGCCAGACCCAAGTGCATCAAGGCCAATTCACACACAAAATTCCAACGCACAAAATTCCAAAGCTTGTTACGGAAGATCCTTACAAATAAAAAATGCACATAGAATTTTGAATTTGAATCAAATTCACTGTATAATATTTAAAAGCATGACCCCCTTTTATTTCTTCAAATTACAATGTGCATTGAATATAAAAGTTAGTTTTAAATTGTAAGTTAGAAGTGCTTATTCCCAGTAAATTCAAGATGTTTTGGTATCTATAGGCAAGAATGTATTTCAATCTCTCTGTAGAGTTTACACAATGACACATGACATTTTTGGATACAAAATTTTTCATTGACATATTATTTTTTGTTGTGTTATTAAGAAGATGAAATCCATTCTTCACATTTTTTTTAAGGAGAGCTTAAATCGTTTGCCCCCCCCCCCAAAAAAAACCACTTCAAGGGGATCTTATTGTGGATGGGCATGAGGGATGCTAACATGCTGAAAAGTGGATATTCACACGAAGCCTTTACAAACAAAGTTTAGGGAGGAACTTCTCTTCATAATCCCAAGACAAAAATGTGACTTCTTTCTATTTGTTTCCAGAATGTGAGTGTTCACAAGGAGAAGGTTTCTCGTCGGGAGATCGGGGTCCTAACCGCCAACAAGCATTGCCCCCACACCCACAAGATCGTCGCGCCAGCCAACCCCGAGCAACCCATCAAGTACAAATCGGCACCCATTGACTACGGCCTGCTGGATGACATCGGGCACGGCATGAAGATCAGCGATCCGGCCAAGGCCGACACTTTCAGGAAGCGCAAAGAGTCCCAAAGCCTCCCGAGCCCCGGCCTGGTACCAGACAACTTCCCAGTTTTCAATCCCGATGAACGGCCGCCCAATTCCCCCCTCGAAGTCGATCTGTACGCGACGGTCCGTAAGACAGGCACCCCGCAAGGCTCCCCTAAGTCGGTGAGGCAGTATCGATCGCAAAGATCAGTGCCAGTAGGGGGACATCCCTCCCCTCCCCCTCCTCCTCCCCCTGACCCTGATATGCCACCTCCCCCTCACCCTATGCCCCCCGCTCCAGACTCCTCTCTTCCACCTGCTATGGCTCCCCCACCAATGGCACCTCCACCACCTGCTCTACTGGCAACCAAAGTGGCAGATGATGAGAAGAAGAAACACGAGAAGGATGTGACTCCTAGGATGTTGAATCCACCTCCTCCTCCCCCTGATATGATGGTTTTGCCTCCTGATGAAGGTAAGTACCAATTTAAGATCCCGCGTCCAAGCTGTTTTCAAGGTTCACCCCAAAAAGTAATAATAATAATAATAATAGTGGCATCTTATTAAGCGCAGCAGGTCCATCACTCAGTGGCACTCATGGTGCTATACAAAGAGTAAGTACAAACTACACAATTTATAAATGACAAATTAGAAATGACAAACTACAAAGAAAAAAAATTATAAATGCTAGGTCCAAGACATATGAATTGCAAGGTACAAGCCGAAGAAGAGATTAGAGTTTGATCAGGTAGGTTTTGAGTTCTTGTTTGAAGGAGATCGAAGAGGGAGCTTGATGGATAGAGAGGGGTAGACTGTGTCAGAGAGTGAAGCCTGCATAAGAGAAGCTGTGGTCACCCCAAGAGTGTCGGGATCTAGGAAATTGAAGAAGTAGATTAGTTTTTCATTTTTTCTTTTTTTGGAGCAATACAAAAGTTATTCACTTCTGGAATACTTGTGGAATAATCACTTTACACATTTCAAATAATTTGTTTGCCAACAATAATTCTGTTTGTGGTGGGTAGACTGGTCCCCCTCCTTATTATCAGGATCAATAATGTAGGGACTGGGAACCAGTCCACTCACAGGATCGACATCAGTATATAAGTATTGAACGAAGCCAGAATAAAAGCCCTTTTCCTTTTTTTGTAAGAGGGTACTTTGCACTCACTTAAGTAGAAAAGAGTACTGTTTTTTGTTAAACTAAAAGATTCAGCTTCTGTCATTCGGAGGGAAAATATATAGAATTTCGTGATGACAGGCAAATTTGAATGAAAGCAGTTCATTTAAAGATGTTAACCAAGAACTTCCTCTAAGAGAATAATTGCCAATGATTTGAAATGACAGTTTTTGTGGTGGGAGGACGATTAAGCATTTACAACAAGTCGAATTGGTCTTGGGAAAACTATGTATTCAAGTATACAGTGTAGGCCTTATGTGTTAAAGTAAGATTTAGAATGCAATTTTTTTGATATTGATTAGAACATTCTATTCATTCATTGTTACAAAATTTAAATGACAAAGAAAACCATATGAGACATCTGCAATGCATACAGTCTTATTGGCCAGGTGGGATTCAAAGCTGGAACTGCAGTGAAACAGTCAAGGAAAGAACACATAACTTCGTGTGTACTTCACCAACCTGTCCACTCGAATGCTAGTACCAAATAGAAAAGACAAGTGCACCTTACATTGAAAATTGAAGAAATGTCTTGAAAACAAAGACCTTAAATTGAAAAATTTAAGAAATCTCTAAACTGCAGAGGATCCAGAACTCTGCCGCTCGCTTGGTATCGACAGCTAAGAAGAGTGAACATATAACACCTGTGCTGAAATCTCTGCACTGGTTGCTAGTACAGTCTCGCATCCATTATAAGGTCATTCTCATCATCTGCAAAGCTCATGGTCTATGTCCAGCCTACCTCTCAGAACTGCTTGTACCTTACAATCCATCAAGGCCCCTTAGATCGTCTTCCCAGCATCTTCTCATCATGAACCCCGGAAAAATGAAGAACTATGGTGAAAGAGCATTTGCATGTGGGGGCCCTACGATCAATACGATCGGTCACTGCGATCAATAACTGACCTGGAATTGTTTAAGAGCAGCCTTAAAACACATTTATTTGAAAATTGTTTTCCATAGTCATATATTATTTGTTTATTAATTGTAAAGGGCATTGCGAGCTCCGACGGTCCTGAAATGCGCTATATAAGGCCAAAAAAAAAAAGTGTCCGGTTTCTGGTATGGAGCTTGCCCAAAAAGTGGTGCGGCGACGCGGCTTTTTTTTTTCTTTACCTGATTTTTTTGCTTCAAATGTCGGCTGATGACTGCAAATGGTGCCCGACTAAACTTAGTGCAAATATATGGGAGTCCATAGAGAGGCCACATAAAGCTTATTCTCGACCATAACCCAATCTAAAAACACGTTAAAATTGTGCAGCAGCAGGATTCCAGTCAAACCAGTGAGTTTGGCGGTTTTGAGACATCATCTTTCATTGAAAAAAAAACTTTTTCATTTTGCCGACGCGCATGGCTACGGCAATGCCCCATGGCTACGGCGTCTCAGAAACCGGAGACTTTTTTGGGGGGGCCTAAGAATGTGTTATTATTTTTATTAAATATAAAAGGATATGTAAACATATTAGCAAATTTTGATGACTGTAGTAAGGGCACAGAAGTTTTAAGGTTTTCAACCCCCCCCCCCCTCCCTTTCCTTCCCCACCCCAAAGTTAAAAAAAAAATATGTAAAAGAGGTCTTACGGTAATAGTCAGATATTTAGGTATAAAACTAAGTATTACATGTATCAACCCCATTATGTCAAAAGATGTCCACACCCCCCCCCCCTTCAAATTTTCTACAGTCGGCAACTTTCATATCTATTTGGCGGTATTTTCTTCCAGTACCCCACGCCCACTATAAAAACAAAATTGGTTCCTTTTTCTTTCGTACAAACAGCTGCTTCATCGATGCCCCCTCCCCCGCCCATGGATGACATCCCTTACCCAGCCAACATGGGCATTGGTGATGATGAGATGCCCCTACCACCGGAGTTTGTTCAGACTAGTGACGTGGACCAATCTGCCCCCGCAGACTACATAGAAAAAGGTGAACTTAGAAAAACCATTCCAATTATACTCTTGGTTTCTTTTTTTGTTGTTGTTGAAAGGTAAAAACGCCCAAAAAATCCAAAAAATTCCGGAAGTGAATACCTTATTTGACTGTGTACATGTAAGTGTCTCAAACATCCTGTGAAATTTCCAACAGTAGTCGGCCCGCCGATACGTGCCAGTCACCGCTGCGACCAAATTCGGCTGTGGTATACATGGTACAGACCACATGTTATTTTGCTCGGCAGAAAATCTTAGTCGAAATTTACCTTGGTGATAGTACAAGGTGTAACAGAAGCGTTTGCAACAACATAAGCTGAAATTTGGAATACACTTTCAGGTAGATATTAGTGTTCAACTACTCGTGAAATAAAAACTTGAGAGCTAGTTTTGCCAGTTATAATTTTTTTTGGTGCTACATATTTGAATATGAAATATATTTCTTTCGGTTTGGATTTTGCTTTTTTTTTTTACTCACCCTGTATATGCAGGGAAGGGGCAGTGCTCAACCCACTTTTTCTATGCCTACATTGTTAATTACCTCACTTTTTAAATGTTCCCATGTATCACTTATAGTCATTGCCCTTTACGGCTACGAGAAAAATCTGGAAGATGAGCTGACATTCCAGGAAGATGACATCATCTACGTGCTGAAAAAGAACCCCAATGGTTGGTTTGAGGGCGTTTTGAATGGAGTCACAGGCTTGTTTCCTGGAAACTACGTGCAGGCTGTTCCTTAAAGATGTACTGTTTGTGTTATTCTCTCGTTTAAAAAAAATAGATTTTCTATCAAAATTTCTTATTTTGTTTCTACCAATACCAAACTTATTCACTTTATGAAGGATTTATTGAATGAAAAATATCATCCCTTGTCGAGTCTTGGAAGACTTGTTTTACCAATTTTGAATAATTTCCAGCCGACAACTATAATGAAGTTCTCAAAAGGGTAGACTGTTTCCTAGTCTATGTAATAGACCATGGCGAAGAGCCAATGGTCTATGATATGTGAGCAGATTCGCTGATTTATTATGCAAGACAACGGCCTCTTGACCTCTAAATTTTGACCAATCAGCGGGCGATTTCTATATATCGGGTCTACGGTCATTCACCCATTGACGCATCAAAGACATGGATAAAAGAAAACCTAGACACAGCAAACAAAGGCTGTGTCGGTCACGCACTCTGTATTATGTTAACGCGATACGCGCCAAGCTTGTTTAGGTTCAATAGATCTGTGCTCGGCCGTTGTTGTATTACAAAACACTGCATTCGAATTGACCAATCAAACATTTAGTCCTGATTTGGGAATGAAATGACGTCACGATTTAGTAAACTCGACTCCGATTGGCTGAGGCGCTGGATCGTATAAATCTGCATGCTTTGACATATCAGACGTTATACAGGAGACATGGCTCCGTGGATAATGGCTGATACTCAGACTAACTGTTTCTTGCCTTCCTTTCAGAACAGAAACATGTAATGTAGGTACCGGGAAACAGTCTACTTGCCACTCTCATTTTTTCAGGGGGTTGCAGCCACACGAAATACAAAAAAAAATCAGTTTTTGGTTAATTTGTCAGGGTTAAAAATGAATATGTTGAAGAGCATGGACAGTACATCTCTAAATTGTTTTACATTCCAGAGTACTATCATCTAGAATTACATTTTTTAACAGTGTAGTTGGCAAGTGCGTGGACCACATTGGCCTGGGTTTTGAGGATAGTTTTTTGAGGAAATGCTGTAGATATTTCAATCATAATCTTCAAATTGCTTATCAGCTCGAACGATCTGAAATATAGAACTTATAAAAGTTGCATATGTAGGAGGCCTGATTTTTCTGTCCTTGCTGAAAATTTCAGATTCAGAGTGTTGAAATGTTAGATACAATAGAAGTATTTTAATTTACTCAATTAGTTTTAGAATTGGAAAAAAATTCTTATGCAAAGTGTATATTGTTCCATTTCTACCTTCTATACATGGTTTTTAGACGGAAAAGCAAATTTATAAAAAAAAAGCTTCTTGTACATGTATGCATATCGGAGAGCATGGAATATAAAACAGCTGTATTTATTGATCTTTATTGAATGATTTGCCGTATTATAATTATACTCCATCAGATTTTGAAAATCAATATTTTGATTGTGTTATTCATAATACCTTATAATGAACCATAAAGAACCATAGTATTCCATGTATTATTTTTATATTAGAGATATGTAACATATAGAGCATTGATATCTTTACACTTTTCGTAGTATGCTATATTTTTGTACGCAGAAACATATTTTAGAAATTTAATATAGTTTTGCTGCATTTTCATAATTTTTATTATGACGCTTTGATGGTATTTATGGATTTTGATATTGGATCAATTTTTAGCAGATGTCTGTAACAAAGTGTTCAACACCCATTTCAACACCCATTTCGCGCCGGACCAAGACGCATAGCGACTTTATTAGGTCGACCCAAATATATACATGTTGCTTTTGTTTCAGACGATAAATTAGTTTATACGTATTGATTTTCCATTGTTTAGGTTGCTTTCCAGTGCTTAATTCAACCTGGAATGCCAGTTTGAAACAGCTAAAGTTCCAAACGTCGAACTACTCATGTACTTTTAAATTTTTTTAATTTTTTTTTAGGGTTTTGCGCGACTCTAAAAAGTCTTCTGAAACAGATGTTGATCAGTACTGGGGGAGGGTTGTTTTTGGCACACCTATGACCTTTTTTGTATGATAGCTCCAGATAAAGCTTCGGCAAATTAGCTTGAATTTCGGTGACTTTTCTTGACTTTGATCGGAGTTCTGCAGGGTGTCAATGGTTGCCATGGCAGATAATTAAAAAAATGTTTTTACATAAAACATAGACAGTTCATGCAAAAATGCAAAAACGTTTCTATTATTTAATACCATAACTACATCCATTGCTCTGATTTTGGTTGGAATAATTTGAATTTTGAGACAAATTCACGAAAACAAAATTTGCCCCAGATTACATCACCCTATAGCGGCGACTTTGAAAGCCAAAGGTTGTTTTTAAATTGATACAAAGAACCAATGACCATTGCGCCAAAGAATGTTTGTACTTATTTAAAAGCATTGGAATGAAAAGATGTTGCAAAAGAAATCATGCCGACCGCAGCGCGACCAAACACGACGTCACATTAGAGTACTGCCATACCATATTCCTACAAATAGGAAAATTGGCCGAAGCATAATGGTAATTAGGATTGGTATGGGGGCAAAATGTGTCTGATTAGATCCACAATACGTACCCCATTTTAATAGCCCTAACAGTCCTGAATCCTTCAATTTCAATAGGATTTTCTATGCAGACTACAATGTATAATATGTAGTATGAAGCTTGCCATTGCTCTTTTCCAGTGCTTTATAAGCAAGCGAATTTACGTCTCAATTTTTTGCTTGCCTTTTCAGGTTGGTTTTTGTTATTTTGATTGTAAAAATTCATCGGGGTAAAACTCCAAGTTGGACCCTTTTTTGTTTCATATATAAAACGTTTTGCCTGATACCAAATCAAAGCTGCGCTCCAAGATCTGTATCGCTGAATAAAGGGTTTTTTTTTTCAATAATAAAAGCGAACTTGTAATATAACTTGTATGCAGTGTGTAATATTGTTGAGTGTGAATACGGCTAATACGCGACTACATTTGGCGCGATATCGATTCATATACAGCAAAACATTGAATATTGTGCACTTGTAATACCATATATACGCTTGCTATTTTAAGTGGAAATAGAGGGTGAGTAAAAAAACTCCATGTGATATTTATACATATTCCTCTTGATTAGTGTTGAGTTGTTGTTTGCTATAGCATGAAAATCACGTGGGAGGTTTTTGCTGGTAAACTGCTTTTATAAGCCAGACTTTTTTTTGCGCTAAGCAAAACAAAATTTGTTTGCCGTGAAATGTGGCTAGGATAATGTAAAACATAAAAAAGGTGAGTAGTCTTGATTCCATGTTGGCCCAGAATCAGTTAATGCAGGGGTGCATCCTAAAGGTCATTAGATAAATTATAAAAATTGAAAAGAAAATGAAAGATGATGTAATAATTTAAGCTTTGTCTCACACACATTGGAGAGTTGTGAGACACTGATTTTTCCTGAATTTCAGATGTAGGGGCATTTAATTAGCACGTCACGCGAGACGTCTCTTGACCGGGTATCACTCAGTTTTGGCGTCACGATAATGTCTATCTTTGTGAACCATAATATTATTTGCTGTATGGCAAAAGTGTCGGTGTCATAAACACACTAGCTTGTTGCGCGGATAAAAAAAAAGTTTTCAAGTTAGCGGAGTGACGTCATAGGCGTATTAAACTTTGGTTCGGTCTCAAGAGGGCGCTCTAATCGCGCCAGTACGATTTTCCGATTTTCTAGTTCAGCGGAACGTGTTGTGAAAGCCGCCATACGCCCAATGTTGTGAGTGCTTTTATACATTTTATTTTAGATAAAGAGTCAATGTTTGTTGGGAAAAAGTTGCAAGCTGACGCTTCTTTTTCATATAGCATGTAAAAACATGGGCTTTTTATAAAATATCATGGCTAAAAAATATCGAAGTGGCTATCGTTACGGCAGCCGTTGTTTAGCGCCCTCTACGGTACTTTTATGAAAGGCACGCAGGTATATAATTATTTGATTCTCCACGTTTTAGCGAGCAGTGTGACAGCTCAGTCGATAGAGGGTAGGATTTTGCAGCGCTAGGTTGCGGGTTCGCATCTCAGTTTTGACCCATTTTTCATTTTTTGCACTCGAATTTTTTTCCTTTTCTAACCTGAGGCTTTGGAAGATTTTTATTAAAAGGGAAATAAAGTCCGAATTTCAAAACGTTCAAATTCACTTTTTCCTTTCTAATTTTATATTTTCTACTCATGTTTTTATAAAAGTTGCAGTCTACCGTAACGATAGAAAATGGGAAATGTGTTACGGCTGCCGTAACGATAGCCACTGCGAAAAAATATCTCTGTTGACGACGACTTGTGCGCTTTCTTGAAAATCACGCAATCTTACTGCGCGCCTATTCTTAAGAATGAGCGCCCATTCTTAAGATTGCGTGGGAATATCATGTGCTCAATTTATGAATTTTGCTCAATCTTAACAAACATTGCACGACATAATTATGAAATGTATAGCGGTTAAAAGGGAAATAATTCATATAAACAGGAAAGAAAATGTTCTATGCTTTTCTGTACTCGTATAACTACGATAATTTGAATCAAATTAAACCTGCTACAAAGTGCTACATGTAGTATTGCTTTTTTCTGCCCACTATAAAATGGGAAGTTTTGTAATAACGGAGGACTGGGAACTAGTCTGGGAAGTGCTTTGTTTAGGCTAGACAAGTCCCTGTATGTATATGCATTTCACTAGCCCCATAAATGTGGCCTATTTACTGGACTGCCTCCGTAAACATAGGCCACACATCCACATGTACAAAAATCGTGTCGACGGAGCCAAATTTTGATTTTCACATTTAGGCTTAGTTTGTAGGTTTTTTTTGCTTTAGAAGCATACTCACCCTCTTTACAGGCTAATCAGAAAGTGCTGCCTTTTTCAGATGTCTAATTTTTGTGAAATTTCATGTTGAAATTTTGATACGCAAACGTGTAAAAATGAATCTGGAAATTTCACGAAAAATAAACATCTGAAAAAGGCAGCACTTTCTGATTAGCCTATAAAGAGGGTGAGTATGCTTCTAAAGCAAAAAAACCCTACAAACTAAGCCTAAATGTGAAAATCAAAATTTGGCTCCGTCGACACGATTTTTGTACATGTGGATGTGTGGCCTATGTTTACGGAGGCAGTCCAGTAAATACAAATGTAGGCCACATATATGGGGCTAGCATTTCACGGGAAAAAACCCACCGATGTCCAGAAGTAGCCTTGGTCAATGCCCTCGTCGTTATTCGTCCGGTATGCGGTCAATCGTCGGCATATCCTCACGCGCTATGCACAAGCATGTAAAAATACAGCGCAAACAGCGACCTCACGCGGCCACTATTTTTTTATGCAAATCAGTTGGGGACGATCTCGAGCCTTGGTTCAATAGTCAGCAAAAGCTTATGTTTTTCTTTACAGATAAGTGTAGGCGGGGCTAACATGTGGAGTATCCAATCACACCTTGGTAAATCCGGACGTCATCAAATTATTTGCAGCTATTCGCCTTTTGCGGACGTGACAGGAACCACAGTTTTTGTGCATTGGTGCCGTGTGCGGAGACACACAACGTGTACGTGTATGGATTATGTACGGTGCCACGTTTCAGATGCAAGTTTCCACGCAACGATCAACCAATAAGAAAACGACATTTAAGGTCAGCTAAGGCTATTAACATAATGAGCACCACCCCCAAAACCTCACATGGACGATTGAACCAAGGCTCTTGATCGTCCCCAACTGATTTGCATATAAAAATAGTGGCTGCGTGAGGTCGCTGTTCGCGCTGAATTTTTACATGCATATGCATAGCGCGTGAGGCCGAGGATATATGCCGTACCATGGACCGCGTACGGGACGAATAATGATGAGAGCATTGACCAAGGCTAGTCCAGAAGCTGCCAAAATTGCTCTTTTGACTAGATAGAATCCAGCTCTGCGGCGTAATGGTGGGGGTGTGAACAATTAATTGGTGGCAATTTAAATGGGAAATAGGGGCCTAGGGGTCCTACTAAAGTGCGTCAACAAGCGTCAACAAGCGTCAACAAGCCTCAACGGTCGTCAACGAGCATCAACAAATTTTGTACATGCTTTTATTATTATTATTTTTAACCATTTCTGGTAATGAAACCAAGGATTCCTCAAAAGCGCCCTAAGCACTGTAGCTCGCAAGCCTGAAGAAACCTGTGGAGAGAAGACAATGGGAAGAAGTTACAGTTTTAGAGGTGGGAGGAAAAGCCCAGAAGAATATTCTGGGGAAAACCCACGAAATCAGGCAGGGACTGAAAACCCAATCCACATATTGGCCCAGGCGGGATTCGAACCCGGGTCACAGCGGTGGAAGGCGAGCAAAGTACCGCCACGCCCACCTGACTCCCCTCCCTTTTGAACATTAAAAGTAGTAGGCCTATCAATTAAAGTTCAAATTATTTAAAAACTTGTTTTTTTTAACGCGAAATGTACGACGAATTTGTCGATTAGAGTTGGCTGCCATCTTGTTTACGTGTAGCTTAGCCCTACTACGCATGTGTGAAGTGTACAGAGCCATACTACGCATGCGCGAAGTGTACAGCGCCATCCAAATAAGATGGCGGCCAACACTAATCGACAAATTTGTTGTATATTTCGCGTAAAAAAAACAAAGTTTTTGAATAATTTTAACCTTAATTGATATGCAGAAGATGTTCTTTATTGCTTTTTCTACTATGTATTGTAAAGCTACTTTTAATTTTCAAAAGCATATACAAAATTTGTTGATGCTCGTTGATGACCGTTGAGGCTTGTTGACGTTTGTTGATGCTTGTTGACGCCTATTTTTATTTATTTTTCTCTTATTTTTTTTCCTGGTCCCCCCCCCCATACGTGTATACTTTCATATCCAAAACTGTTCAGCGTTAAGTAAGTGACCTTGCGTTGCAACAGTATAATTATTAAGAATCAGTGAACGAGGATGCAGCTAGACTTGCCAAGCGCAGCCGGTGCTCGGCATCGGCAAGACCGTTATCTTGTCGCGCATTCTTAAGAATGTGCGCTCAATCTGGAAGAGTTATTTTTTGCGAAGATATAAGAATGTGCATGCGCATTCTTAAGAATGCGTGATTTTCAAGAAAGCGCACAACATCTCAATGAAGGTCGGTCAGTCATGTCATTGTCGGTCATTAAAAAAATGAAAGTAGAGTTAGACCCGTGAACGTGGCGTTGTATACAACGCCAAGCTGTTGTGTCATTTCGAACCTGGCGAAATCGATCCGCCATAAATAATTTCGTATGCATGTTGAGTACTCACCTAGAAATCTACACTTGCCTTCCCGCGTGTTCAGGATGTGTCATTTCGACGAAATTTGCCGTCACTGAAGACCCATACGAATGTGTAGAAATTACTTTTTAACTTTAACTGGACAAGTACCCAGGGTCACTTGTGTGCCAAATTATTGGAGCCCCTCGTGCTACCCGTCTGCTTCATGTGGCGCATATGATACATGTACATGTAGGAAGCGTCAGATTCGCCAATCACGAGACCACGTGATAAACGCAGCTAATCATGCTAATAATTTGGAATCGCACTTATGATCCGGACATAAGAAATGCCTGAAGCGTCAGTGCGATACCAAATTATCCGCAGCATTTGTAGTAAATCACGTGCATCAGTAGGAGGTTGCAGGACGTTGAGATCTTGCCAGATTTTACCTTGAATTTCGTTTAAATTCCAGATTTGGCGTAAACGCAGATTTCAACATGTTCAAGAAAGTTTGATTCGTGAGTACTTATCACACGGTAAAGCAGTGTTCAGTTTTGTCACGGAAGGACGATTTCGCTTGGTTCAAAATGGTACAAGAGTGTTGCGTAGTTTACAAGCCACGTTCACGGGTCTAGACCAGAGTAGGCCTAGGCCTATAAAAATCGCCTACTGCCTAGACTAGTCCGAGTAACTAGGACTCTACAGATCGCTTTTTTAACATTTAGACATGGTCGGGCGATAGTAGAGTCCGAGATCGATGGCCCTATTGCGGCTACTACTAATTTTTTTTTACCATTTTCACTCGTACCCCCAATCAAAATCTTTAGATTTTACCCCCAAAACGGTCTTCAAACTACCTTATGCGCCCCTGTAGGCTTCAGTGGGAAGTGAAAATACAAATGGTGGTGGTTACATTCACATACCGGTACCTTGGGGAAGAAAAGAGAAATTTCACCTTCAATTCGGAAACTGAGCCTCGTCGAGCTGTCACCGCTATCTTATTGTACGATTCAAATTCATGAGGTCAAACTGATGACGTACGACGCGCCGTCCAAGTGTAGGCCCGCATTCACAGTCGGGCATATTGTGTGTGCACACGCACACCGGTGACTGTTTCCTGAGCGGCGCAGCCTGCACACATCGAATAGCCGTGTATTGATAGTGCAGACAACGATTTCTTTCTGACTTACAGTAGATTTTGCAGTGATGGCGGAGAATCTGACAGTGAAGATGCATTGGTACTTAGGAGCCTATACTTGTCCCTGCTTGTTGTGCCTAAAACTATTAAATCTTGGGGGGACCGTTCATTTTCTCATGCTGGACCTATGTTATGGAACAAACTTCTTCAAAATATTTGTGATAGTGCTACTTCCCATGAGTTTAAATGTGCTCTGAAGACCCACCTATTCCAAACAGCATTTCATTAATCATCCAGTTTGAATTCACTCTCATATGTACTGTTTCATATTCATGTATTTTCATTTGTGCGTACTTTTGTTCCCTGCTGTTTTTACTGTTCATGTTCATTTGTTTGTTTCTCTGCGCCTTGAGCATCTAATCAAGATGGATTTGGCCTATTATAAATGCTCTTTATTATTATTATTATTATACACACAAAACGACTTGGTTACAAGTACGGGTGTGGTGATACACATGCTAAACACGCCAGGAAAAAATGTTGCAACCTGATGCCACTTCCGCGCTTGTGTACAAAGTCTGTGGAAAGTCATTTCAAGTATTTCCTAACAAATTGGAAACATTTCTCAGTCCCAGATTCATTTCTTATCGTCATTTTTGCAACGAATGACCTTCATTGAGATGATATATGAAGAAAAAAGTGGCGTCAGGTTGCAAATTCTTTCCAATACTTTTGTTGACGCAATGGTTTAAGTCGAAGAATACTCTCGCAAATGTGGATTCTTAATTTACAAATTCACTCGGCGCTTGCCGCTTTGCGCCTCGTGAATTCTTAAATTACGAATCCACACTTTCAACTTACCAATCTCTTTTCCCATTCCTGAAGGTTAACAGATTGCAGTGTTAAGATGTCATCCTGGTCCGTAGAGGAGGCAATCATCAGTGAAGAATCTTATTTCTGATGTCACATCTATGTAACATCAGTTATGTAGCATAAATTTCAGAAGACATACCGGTAGCGGTACCCATACAGTTTGTGAGAACAGGTATCACGGTTATCACAAAGCGATGAAATTGATTGCTTTGAAGTCTCAACCCCCTCCCCACCTACCCCCACCCCACCCTCCCTCTAATTACAATTAGTGGTCCCTAATTTATAGTGTGTGTTTTGATTTTTGTTGTTTTCCAGGAAGCATTTAGAAAGACTTTTCCTGCCATAATGCCAAAACGTAATTGTAGAAGAGAACCATTGGGTGGCAGCACCATAGATAGGGTACAGAGCATCTTGCGAAGACGCGTTTGCAGAATCGAAGTTCCCCCTAAAGACATCATTGAAGAAAACCTCAAGGAGCAAAGACAGTAAGTGAATTTAAAACAATGGTAGAGCACTACTGGTAGTGGAGTCTGGGGTGTGGGTCCGGGATGTAGGGGGCGTGACACCCCAAACTAATATCTCTGTCAGCAGCATTTAGAGCCTTGGTTGGCAAATGAATTGTGACCTGCCATTGAGGAATAACCCCCACCTTGGACTGTTCACGTTATTCTCAGACAACTCACATAAAAAAAAAAAATAGGACATTGTTGTGATTTCTGGAACAGCTTAACAACTGGGTTTATTACAAGTTGCCAATAAAACGGGCAAGTGGCCCTAAAACTTAGCTGTTTGTAGAATCAACATCGTTTGATAATTTTGAATTCAGAGACTGAAAAACAATGGTTACCCACGCCAAATTGGCACGCTTGCCACACATAGATTTGGATACGCTTGCCCTGAATAACTTGGCACGCTTGCCACATGCATAAGTTTGGACACGTTTTCCTTCCAAAAACTTTGGCACGCTTGCCACACACGTTTGGGCAAACTCGCCCTTAAACCAATCAGCAGAATGAGTGAAAATGTATTAAGTATTTATAGTTCCAATGTGATATAACCTTAATAATCATTATTTCCACCGTTTGTACGAACGGTTGGAGTAATGCAGTAGTAACCCCCCCCCCCCTTCATTAACTATTGCAAAGGAATTATTATGTATGCAAAAAAATGAATTATGTACATCATGTTAAAGCGCACATCATTGGCTTTCCAATGATACCAAATTTATTTCTTTAGCTCAATTTATTCCAAAGATATGACCCCAGAACTTCAACAGTGTCCTGCCAAGTTTCTCTAACCTCATTTCGAAAAAAAATGGCTTTGAAAAAAAAAAAAGACACGTACATGTATTGTGCCACCAACGGCAGTGAAAAACATTCTTAGGTTTTTCTCCACTTTCGTGGGTATTTTTTTCCCAACAAAAATGCATCTAGTGTGGAAGTTGGATACCTAGGCTACCCAAAAATACAAAACAATCAATCTCAATTTTCACATTTTCCAGTATATCCGACTTAGGTGTCGACTACTCTAAACAAGGTTTTGGGGGACATTCTTCATTTTGCCCCAGTAGGTCACAATGGCTCATGTCATGGATGTCACAAGACACATGGTCTCATTTTGGAGCAAAGGTCTCTTACAAAAATCCCCAAAATAGGAACAACTCAACCCTAGCTGCTTCCATTATCTGAAAAAAAATCTAAAACATGAAACTACACGTCTTAACATCTGCAAACTAGAACGTGTCCTTTAATTAATGATTCTAGTAAACAAACTTGTTTTAACAAAGATTACAAAATGTGACACTTTCAACTCAAAAATATGTGATCACAGCACATGTCTGCACATATGAAACATGTCTTAATGTGAGCGACTGCAAACTAAAAAGTGTCCTTTAATTAATGATTCTAGTAAACAAACTTGTTTTAACAAAGATTACAAAATGTAACACTTTCATCTCAATATGTGATCACAGCACATGTCTTCACATACATGTATGAAACATGTCTTAATGTGAGCAACTGCAAACTACCGGTACAAAGTATCCTTTAATTTAAAATTAAAAACTAGTAAACAAACTTGCTTCAACAAAGATTACAAAATAAGACACTTTTAACTCAAATGTCATCAAAGCACATATCTGCACATGAAAAATGTCTTAATTGTGAACAACTGCAAACTACAAAGTTTTCTTTAGAGATACTAGCGAACAAACTTGTTTAAACAAAGATTACAAAATTGACACTTTCAACTCAAATGTGATCACAACATATCTGCACATGAAACAAGATTAAAGGGAATATACATCATTTGCTTTTGCTGTAATTTCCAGAAATGGATGGAATTGGGGGGTTGGAAATATAAAGCAAATATAGTTACACTGACTTTTTGGAGGTTTTGGGTTCGAAAATGCTATAAAAACCAAGAAAAACGATCATTTTCCTGTAGTCTGGTTCCCTGACTCCATATAAGAAGAAACAGAGCAGTTTGCATACATTGGGGAATTGTAAGGTCAGGGAACCAGTCTAGCTGGCTCGTACCCGTTCATAGGTTTGTAATCGATTGCAAACAAGTGCAATGGTCAATTGGGGCCAGTGTTTGAAAAAAAAGCCAGTTGTTTCCAACGCTGATCGGCCGATCAGCGTTGGAAATTGATACAAAAATACAACTTTTCTTGAAAATGACAGTACACCAGGTGCCATAATTTTACAGGATGCTTTAGACTGTCATTTACCAACATCCTATTAAGGTATTTCGCAAAAACTTGGTAGTTTTATTTTTCGATGTTTGCAAATGTTGTATATTCCCTTTAATGTGAATAACTGCAAAGTATATCCTTTAATGATAGAAGTTCAAACAAACTTGTTTTAGCAAAGATTACAAAATGTGGCACTTTCAACTCAAAAATATGTGACCACATCACGTCTGTACATGTATATGAAACATGTCTAATTGGTGAGCAACTGCAAACTACAAAGTATCTTTTAATTTAAAATGATACTAGTAAACAAACTTGCTTCAACAAAGAAATTACAAAATAAGACACTTTTAACTCAAATGTCATCAAAGCACACATCTGCACATATAAAAATGTCTGCACAAAAAAAAACTTAAAGATAGCAAGGGGACTAAACTCCCTGTGAAGTTATTCTTTCTGGCAAGCTGTCATTTTGAAGAAATCAGCAAAAGAAGGCCTTTACAATAGTGCTTCTTAAGACGCACCTTAAGAAATTTAAATTAGTAGTTCGTTTTGTTATTCGGCGAAGTGCACAAGCATTGGCACGACGCACACGTGCGCGCAGTTGCTATAATTCGTCGGATCAGTGCGCGACATCGCGTAGCTGCAATCGGCTCATTGAGAATGTGTATCGGACGCTGAAGTCGGGCCCAATTCAAAACATGATTCAGCAACTTTTGATTTGAAATAAAGATTCTAGAAAGCTGTTTTTTCGGAATGTAGGCTACAGCTGAAGCTGAGCCGAAACTTTATCAGGTCAGTTGTTCAGTACCTTTCTATAGATTTTGAGCACTTTTGTTGCTTCAAACAAATTACAAATGATGGACTATACCTTTAAGACCAAACAAAATATGGCCACAGGAAAAAATCCCAACAACTCAATCCTAATTTCTCTCACAATAAAAAACTTCCCCAAACTGCAGTCACATTTAACCATATGCACATCTTGTATATGTGCATGCCCACACTCACTTTGTTATGTAATGTAGGCTTACTAGGCATATTGAAATTTAATTTAAACACATACCAGGGAACGGTACATGTATCGTCCAGCAGTGAACAACCCTCCTGGTGTTTTGGGATCTCATCAAAGCTCATCACAGTGTTGAGTTTGGATCATGCAGATGTGTATCATACATTCCTTCCAGATTTCTACAGATTCCAGTTCATCTGCTCCGATCTCAGACTTCCATGAAGTTTACTTCATAGCTGAAGAACTTTTTCTAATATGGGACTACTAAGGTACTGGTAAGCTCCGATGAGCCCTGCGCCAGCTGCAGCAATTAAACCAACACGCCTGCCAAAAAGCAATCCAAACACTCCAATAATTGTGAGGCCTGCTACCAGTTGCTTTGCATGTACTGGTCGTCTACATGTATGAGGAGCAATAGGAGGAGAAATCCTGCTAACGGCTGCTTCTCTTCCAGCAGGGATTGTGAATGGCAGGGATTGTGTATTGGTAAATGCATTTAGATAATGCTCCACTGCAGCTGCTGTTGGACGTCGGTGGTAATCTTTCAGTAACATTTTGTCAATAAAGACACGTAGCTTCTGGCTTATTTGAATGGTCGTCCCATTAGAAAGAACACATCGGTCCACTTTCCCTTGATAAAGAGCTTCTCCAATACCTGTTACACTTGGATAAGAGGCCGGGTCTCCAATGTAAGAGGGCACGAATAGGTTGTTAGATGGTGGTAGAACTTTGCGTTTTAGCATGCAGACAAATATTTCTCCCATGAGAAATACATCAGACTTCTCGGTATAGCGTCCATCTAGAACTTCTGGGGCCAAGAAAAATCGGTGGCCATAGACAGCATTCATGTAGTAGTTTTGAAGACTGCCTCCTTGTTGGGAGTCTGAGGCTAATTTAGCGAGGCCGAAATCAGCAACTTTTAGAGTACCATCTGCTGTGAGTAGAATGTTGTCTGGTTTCAGGTCGCGATGTATGATGCCGTTGGCATGAAGGAAAGCCACAGCTGAGGCAATCTGCCTCATGAATTGTAGGTCTCGCTGAGGCTGTCGTCTGTGTGACAACAAGAAGTCATTGAGATCACCCCCACAGCAATACTCCATGACGAGACAAATATTGTCATCATCGATTATGATGGTTCGATCATAAATGATGATGTTATCATGTCCTGCAGAAAGCCTACAAAGGGCTTTAATTTCATCTATGGCACTTCCTGTCAGGGGCAGGGTCTTCAGAGCACGCTGGTTGTTAGTTTGTAGCTCTCGCCCAAGGTAGACCTCACCAAAGGCCCCTGCTCCCAACTTCTTTTCAATCCAAAAGTCGGCCCTCAGCAAGTCAGACATTTTGGCACACTGAGAAACAGCTTAATATTCAACAGGATACTGCTCACATACAGTAAAGCATACATCAAAGCCTGGTCACCGCTGTCTGGGTTACCTCCGCTCTTCCCTTACAATAAACACTTTTGTATTACTCTAAAGACTAGGCAGGTAATAACAATTGATGTGGGTCTACATATCGTTACACAAAACCGTTTGCTGGTTTTTCCAAATATATCCCTGCGCTGCATGGATACATATTCTATTTTTAGATTAGTGCACACACAGGTACTGGTAGCAATTGAACAGTGAGTAGGCGAGCTAGTGCCCTTATTCTAATTTTTTTATTCAACCTTTTCTCCACATTGCTATGTACCACATTGCTATGGTATTGTGCATTGTGTACGGTACTGTCCAATGCCTGTATACACACAACACCAATACACATTACACATTGCACAA